TTTGACACCGTTTGTATTTTCGGTGAAGCTCTCTGGGGGCATTTGACTATGGCCGCGATACATTTTAAGAGCGAAAACTAACGAGTCGGCCCTCGACGAGTTGAGATCTAGTAGACACGGTATAACTGGAAGATCAAAGGTTCCGATTGTAAACCGTTAAATCGCTTTACACAGGAAGGATTCAAAATGCCGTTATTTCCGCTGTGAAAAATTCGTTCGGTGTCAATGTATTTATGCGCGGAATATGTCGCGCACGTGTGCCGAATAAGCCATGTCGGAAAGTCCTTTTGGAAGTGACGATTGTAGATAGTCTGTCTCGTGAGAAATTTTCAGATATTATCACAATTTATATATATATATATATATTTTTTTTTATATTTAATTCTATTCTCTAAAAAAAGTTCTTTGAGTGAAATTTCTCACTCAGAAAGTAAAGTGACAGTCGAATTCAAGTGACTCGAGTGTGTCACCTTTCACTCTTATAAAGTGTGAATTCTACATATTAAATCGAATGATTTTCATTCAGAGTATTTTCAAGTGAATTTTTATCTTAAGTGAAATTTTATTCCAAAGAGAATTTAGGGAGCAATTCATAAGGAAATGATTAAATTTATATTTCCTTCGACAAGAAAATTGTATAATCGGACTGCACAGATTGTTTGCCATTTCGCTGTTAAAGGTTCGAACGTAGTGAATCCAAAAAGTAACAAATAATTGGAGACATGTGTCTCCAGTTAGTAAAATTAGCGAAGAACGATGACGCGTGCAACGTAACCGAGTTGTGAGGTCTCAGACGTCGAGGAGGTGGGCTGGATCGCACGGACGAAAGTCCGTGTCCCGTCCTATTATTAGAGAAGGTTCCAGCCAAGTGCACATCGCAGGCAAGGGGTTACACGGCGGCGCAGTCGAGACCGCCGCAGCCGAGATAATATTGCGACGGTAGATCCGAGCGAGAGGTTGTATGCTTCAGTCCGATCATTCCCCGGTCGCGATATCCCCGACACGGAAAATCGGTCGACAATGCGCACCGATGCGCGGAATGCGCGAGTGTCGTGTCGAGTTGCAAGTTGTTGACACGTATCCCTCGTCTCGGATCCTTTGCTCCTCTGCCACCGTGGATTCCAATTGAAGAATAGGGTGTCGTAATTTCGCGATCTTCCTTTTATCGCAAGTGAGTACTCGAAGCGTACGCAATTCATACGCAGCTGCGATATCATATCGCGTTATCAGACTGAGAGAAAAAAATAATCTCACTAGAATTGCGGTCATTTCCGGCGCGAACCGTATCTGCTTGTCTTGACAAAACGTGCAAATATGAATACGAAATTATTGCCATAGCAGCACTCGCTTGCTAAAAAATAATTGTTCTCATTATGATTATTTTTCACTTGCATTTATAGTCGCAGATATACCCAAAAGAATATAGTCTTATGTTCAGCGGGATTCTTTTGTCTCAAGAAGATTCTTCCAAAACCAAAGGAAAAATATTCCAAGTGCAATATTCTTAAAATTGAAGGAATCTCGCCTTTTATCTGCAATGCAAATCTTCTCCATAGACATTTTTTTCTAATAAGAGGACATTCTGTTTCGAATAAATATATTTTATTCGAATAAATTTATTTGAATAAATATCTTGATTCAAAAGGAAAAAATTTGAATAATATCTAATAGATATTAGTTAATTGATAGTTCACTTTTCATTAAAGAAGGCATACTCTTTCGCTCAGAATATGAAATTACAGGAAGTGACGTCCTGCAATCGGATTTTTTTTAGAGTGCTAAAATATCTTCTTTTTAGAAGAATCCTCTCGAGAGAGAGATCATATATAAGAGGATTTGCACTAAGAAAAGATAATCTTTTTTGAGTGACTTTTTTCTCAGCGGGAGAACTGAATAAACATGGGGAACATACTTATTATGGATCGAGTGAAAAAGTTCCCCGATGTATATTTTTCTCTTTTTCTTTTCCGCTCTTTTTTCTCTCAGATTTGGAATCTCGAGACTCCAGATTCTGATTGTACGGTATCCTATGCCACACGGGAGAAAATTCCGCGGGTGACCATAGAGAAATCAACTGGTGCATTCCGCGGGGAATGTACGGCGCACGAATGCATGCACGGTCACGCGTACGGACGTAATACGGACGTTGATTTCACGTCTGCCGCCGAGAAAATTGGAAACCGTCGTCCAGCTCGTTTATTTGTACAATCAACTTCCACGTATGTGCATACGTATGTACACGGGAGCGAAGTGCCGAGATGTATCCGCGGCGATCACTCGACCCGGCTTGTGGATAGAATGTCTTGGATTTTCCTGTCTTACCTGTCAACCCTGCACTGAACGCCACCCTGCACTTCTCTAACGATATGAATCAAAGGACACCTGATTTATATCACGTGCCTTAATTTTCTCCTTTCAATTCGTCGATGATTGTGTCATCATCAAAATAAAGATCAAACGTTTTGAGACATTTTATAGGATATATAGCCAACTAATGACTGTTCTAGGCTTCAGTATTGAATATGGAATGTTTTGTTAATGCGAGACTGATCATATAACTCTTCAACATTGCGGAAATTTATTTTTACGTTTGACTAAATTAACTCTAGAACTTTAAATATTAAAAAATCACATGAACACCGAACATGGAACACCGAAATTTTACACAGCACACCTGTTTTTACTCATAACTTCCAGAAAAATGATCAAAATTTAATGTTCTTTTATTTAATATTTCTTTCTTTTTTAATCAGAGTAAAAATCGTCAAGAAGTATGATTCTGTTAATATTTTTGCAATTCAATAAAAATTTAAATAATATCTAATAGATATTAATTGATTGAAAAATTTGAATAATATTTAATAGATATTAGTTGATTGATAATTCACTTTTCATTAGAGGAGGCATCTTTTGCTAAGGATTTTTGCTAATAAAGTTGAAAAAATTGTAATAAAGAAACAAAACACTTTTGTATTTATGTATGATAGTTAACGTTTGAAAAGTTGAATCGGCTAAATTTTACTCATATTTAGAGTTGTAGCGTCACATTTCTTCCAAGATGGAGACTAAATCTAGAATTTGATTGATCAAAGCTGTGAACGGGATCTGTAAGTTTCAATCGAAGTATCTACCATTGAAAAGAAACAAAAGAAAGAGACGACAATGAGCCAGGGACATCCTGTATATACATACAGTGTGGTTATCGAACGGAAAGCACGCGGGTGTCTGTGCACGCGTGCATACTTGTGTAATTACACGGTGGGGCCCGTCTGTGTGCGAGTAATCGGATCGGCACAGACCGCCCGCCAATCCTTTAGCGTCGATAAACGGGCAGCGAGTTAATTGAAGACGATCGCATTAACGATAAAAGCCGACGGCAGCAGCGAGATGACCCTCTTGCTCCGCTTATACGGCGGATTTTTTCGCGATTTATGAAATATCGCGGATATATGTCAATAGGTGCGTACGCCGTTGCTCCTGTATGAATTTAATAGCGCGCGATCCAGATGAATCGGCCGCGATATAAACGCGAATGTTGCACGTGGTTATTAATTTCACTCGTTGTGCTTCGCACGCCCGGTACAGCACGTTTCGCAAGGTTTACGTATCGTGCGTTCAGCAAAGCGGCTCCTCGATCGATTCGCGCGAACACTTGCTTTTTAGCAAAAATTTACGCCGGACTATAATTACGGGATCGCACAACATTCAAAAAGAAAGAATATTAGCGAACCGAGAGAAAGAAAGATTCGAAGATGCGGAAGATAAATCTCACTCTTCGATTAATTTCGAATGGAATCTGTTCCAGTGGAACTTGTTTTAAAGTTCTGGTGTTCTATTCTAGAAAAGTTTATGACAAAAATGCCAAGCCAATTCTTCAGAAAAAAGAGAAAACTATGTTCGAATATATATTTGTAAAATATATTTGTAAAAATGTTTCTTACACTCTAAGTGCCGTAATTGAACATCCTACTGACAAAATATTGTTCTTTTATATTGCGTATATATATTAGTTGCATAGAATTACAAATGCTTTTACACACTAAAAGTACACACATGCAATACTGAATTGGAGTATTGTTCAATATGTGACGGAAACAACAAAAAATTTTAAAATGGACACAAGGCAGATTTTACGAAATAAAGGAGCGTGTTTAAATGCTGGGTTTGTTATGACTTATACAGTTAATTATACGTGTCAAAGTATGCGGGATAATTTCTCCGGCAATATATCATGCGTGATAAAGTAAGAAAAATGAGTTTTCATTACGTTGTCATGACAATGCGACGATACGCGTCCTCATTTATTAATTATCGTCGTTGCCGCTTCGATGAATCAAACCGAGTGCCAAGAAAGGCTCGTAATTTCAAGACGTCGTTCTCAGAATCTCTAATATGCCTGCGAATGATTAATCACTACACAAAAAAAAGTGTTGATAGCATTTTCGCGGGAACGAAGCCATTCTCTGTCTCGCGTGGATTGGAGGTTATTGTTAACGTTAATAAGAGCAAATCTAGAGTATGTGTGTCTTCTGCCAGCATTTTTACATCTAAATTCGATTTATCAATATTTGCAATATTCACAATTTACATTTGGGAATTTTAGATACAATTACTCTACTAAAAAAGAGAAAAACCAAAGAAAGAGAGATGAATTAAAGTTTAGATTAAATATCATCAAATGGCATTTTATTCATCATTTTTTTATATTTAAACTGATGTTACAACAAGAAGAGGAAACGAAGGATATAATTAGTTATCATATAATTTAATTTTAATTAATATTTATCTTTTTGACTTCTCTTTTTCTCTCACTCACTGACTCCCTCAACTTGTCGAGTTTTTTCTTTCAATGTTAAATGATACCACAATTATTCTCTGACATAATTCGCAAAGGGGAATAGCTATATGACATATTTATCTAAAAAAGCATAATGCTCACAGACGTGTTAATCTGTGTTTGATCAACTGTCTAACGAAGCCTTCGGATTTTCCGTTTTCAGGTACCACGACCGACCTGGTGCCACAACTGCTGGGCATGTTCGACGAGCTAGCGCGTCGACGCGATGGTTATAGCGGCGAACACGCAGTCTTGACGTCGTCCTGCGGGATCTCAGCGGCCTTGCAAAAGCGCCTGAGTCGTGTACCGGCCTCTCATCGAGGCTCCATATTCGGTCAACTGTGCACCAACGGTGACTTAGCCAAGTCCGCGCATCAGGGGGATCCGAGGTACGACGGAAAAGAAGGATCCACGGACCCTACCGACAACACTATGCTGGAGACGGTCGTCTCGAAATCCGTGGCGTCGTTGGAGGACGAACGTAACGGGGTATCCACCGAGGAGAAGCAGTCCTATAGGCGAGAGAGCAACAGTCTCACCCCGCTCAGGTATTATCCAACGTCGATCTGCTCCTTACAATCCTTCAGTGTGTACCAAACGTCAGGGTCACCGAGACCGTTATAGTTCTCTACCCTCCGTGACTTTCCCACGGCGAGCTTCTATTCCTCGATCTCATTTCGTTTCGAATGGTCTTCGATTTGATAGCATCTTCAGCTCGGCTATGCTGAGCTGCTCGGTATTGTAAATCGACTATGATATGAATCGTGGTTCACCTTAAGGGGGAACTATGTTAATTCGATTGAATCTGAAAGACGAAAGAAGAAGATCGAAATGAGAAGATTTATGAGGATTTTGGCTCGAGGATTGACTGATTGGTTGATTAATATCGCGTTTGTACTCGGCTAGGTACAATAGGCGCTGCAGAAATGGTGGTAGACCGCTTTCTGGAAGCTCCATCGCGTCCAGCACGTCTTCCAGTAGCTGTAGCAATCAGGGTAACACGTGTGCCGTCAATCCCTATTTGGCGTCCGTTGAGTCCCTTGCCGATACCTGTGCCAGTTCCCAGGGTAAGTGCCTCTAACATCGTTATGGAGTAAATATCTACTTAAACTTGTGTTCCCTTTAAATTTGTCTAATCGTAGAAATAATTGTTTTCAATCGTAGAAAACTTTGAATTTATTCAAAACATGCAACTATCATTAATGAGAAATCATATTATTTTATTCACGGTTCGCGGATCACGAGGTCAACATCTCTGACTTTGATTCTTTAGGTTCCGCGGATAGCGGAGTCGTGACAGTCTCGGAAGCCAGTTGCCGAATCTTGAACGACGACAATGGCCAGAGGAGGGACAGCGCCGAGGAGGATCCTGCGTGTCACAGGCCTCGCTACTGCGACCCACATCGCAATCCCGTCGATATGGTACTCCTGGAGATCGTAGACACAGAGGCGGTATACGTCGAGCATCTGCGCCAAGTTATTCAGGTTCGTTTCCGTCGCTATCGCGACGCGTCTATCATCATCTGACGATGATGAATAATGTCCAGCTCTTGGGCTAATTTAGCCAACGCATCTGCGGAGCGTTAGTGACTTACGCGTTCATTTAAAAATATTTCGTGAAGGATGTTCATTTTACATGTGATTTGCAGGGTTATCTCATATTCTGGAGGGGCGATCCGACGTCGTTCGCGCGGCAATCGCTCGGCGATTTATTTAGCAATATTGAAGATATTTTCAAATTTAATAGGTGCGTAGACAATATTCGATGTGTTGCTACTCAACACAATAACAATCGCAAAGACTATTTGGAAAATGTTGATGTAAATAGATGTAATTTTTATCCTTTAATAGTAAATTTGATTTAATTATAGCTAATTACATTAAAAATTATTAATTACTAAACAACTTAATTTAATTAAATCGTCTATTTTCTGATTACATCGATCCACGTCATCGTTTTTTCAACAGCTCTTCGTGCGACAGAAAATCAATGTTGACTTATTTCAGGGAATTTTTGCGAGAACTCGAGAAATGCGGCTTAGATCCCGTTTGCGTGGCCGATACGTTTCTTCAGTATATATCAGGATTTAATGTGTATACCGAATACTGCACTAATTATCCAAGGTAAGAATGTTGCTGATCAATGGCAATCGATGCAGTGTTAATCGAGTTTATTTCAGGGCAGTCTCCGTGTTGACCGATCTAATGAGCCAGGAAGAAACGGCGTCTGCTTTTCGTGAACGACAAGCCGCCCTGGGGCACGCGCTGCCGCTCGGATCATTTCTTTTGAAACCCGTCCAAAGGATTTTAAAGTATCACCTGCTTCTAAAGGTAATGAAACGCTTATGTTGAGTAAAAATCATGTGTCATGCATGTAGAAACGTAATGTCTATGCTAGTACGACATATGGATCACAATGCCATTTTGTGATTTGCGATGGAAAGAAATAAAAAAATATAGGTTTATACGAGAACATTTATCTTTCTATAAATCGCAATGAACATTGATTGACCTAATTCTAGTATTGATTTATGTATTTTTTATAAGTTAACAGTAGTATTTTTCTAAATAAATAAAACTAATTTGGCGGTAATCATTACTAGTACTTTCCAAGTATGCATAAGAAGTTCAACACATTCTTTATCCCAATTAAAATGAATGTCAGAACTGTTTCTTTAAGAAATATTGCATCTAAATTTTGTTCTCGTCCGCCATTGTTACACTATTAGAAAACGAAGATTCAGAAAGGTTGAGATCTTAGACAAGATCTGAAATTATATATTGAGGTGTGCGACAATTTAGAGTCAGAGTAACATAGATGGTAAGGAATATGAAATTTTCCTGACAGAATTTATCGAAGGAATTCGGCGCCGATTGTGATTCGAGAGAGAACGAGGCTGAAGGCAGAAATGCCATCGAGGCTGCTCTCGCCGCGATGACTGGCATAGCGAAGGACATCAATGCCATGAAGAGGCGGCACGAGCACGCTGTACGCGTTCAAGAGATTCAATCACTTTTGTACGGTTGGTTGGGACCAGACCTAACTACAAGTGGCGAATTGGTTGCGGAAGGCCGATTCAGGATGCGAGGGGCCAAAGTGCCGAGGCACGCTTTCCTTTTTGACCGAATGCTACTACTCACGAAGAAAAGGGAGGATGGCCTTCTCGTGTATAAAGCTCATATTATGGTACGGTTTATTTTACTTTCTCATTCTTCAAATTCACTTCTGTCGATATGTCTACGTACCTATTTGTTTAGGAATATATATAAAAAATTATTTCAGCCATAAGAATGATAAACATGAAAATAATAAACAAATTATTGGGAAAATATTTTTCTTATCTTTTCAAACAGTTTCGACATATCTAGTTCAAAAATTTGTTTGATAAGTATAATCGCCATTAATTAATTATAAATTGAAAATTATATACAAATTTCATTTTTCTTTTCTAGTGTTCAAACTTGATGCTGATTGAAAGTATTCCAGGAGAGCCACTTAGTTTTCATGTAATACCTTTCGATAATCCTCGATTGCAGTACACATTACAAGTAAGAACCATAAAAATATATCATTAATCGCAAAGCAAGATTCAAAAATAGGTCTGAGGATGACGGTATTTTCATTTAACAGCTTATCCTTCTTTCAGGCGCGCAACTTAGAACAAAAGAGAGAATGGACTCTGCAGATTAAGAGAGTAATATTAGAGAATTATAACGCAGTTATTCCTTCGCACGCGAGACAATTAGTATTACAACTAGGTCAAACGCAACAAGAAGGTACAAATGACAGTGCAAATTTGATTTCATTAAAAGTTATCACAAAATTAATATATTAATTACTTGGTACAGATGACGCTTTAGCGGACAAAAGCTCGGCGAAAAAATATTCGGCGCCTCCAGAATACTTGGAGAAACGTAAACAGGAGAGGGATAGACGCAGATCAGAAACCGGTATCAGGCAGAAATTCAAGAAGGGTGCCAGAAAATCAGATACTGCGATAGAGGTAAGATCTGATAAAAATATTAGCATATCCAATTTTATGCCTCTCGTATGGGTTTTATTAACTAAAGTTTTCTCATCTTTTGATCAATATGTTTTCAGAGTTCACCCGCATCATCGCGTAAAAATGGCAACGAAAATCGCATCATAAACGACTCGAGAGAGCAAACCTTTAACAGATCTTCGGATGCGCGAGCTTCGAAAGTTAAGGTAAAAAATACTTTTGATAATTAATGTTAACAATTATTAACGTGTAATATATGTATGTGTAACTATCATGAAATCATAAGAATAACAAATTATATATATATTTTTTTTAATAATATAGGGTCGAAAATAGATATTATACTATTAAAGTATTCTATCAATACGATATTCCTGGCCTACAGTCATGCAAGCTGCAATAGATACTTAACGGTATAATTTCTAAAATTATTATACAAAGACAGTGTTTATCCTTACTATCTAGAACATTATATCACGAAGAGTCATAATTCATCAATTGGATCATCTTACTCATTTCTGTTGTAGTGGTGTTATTTTTTCTTTGGGGAGCACAATGATATCCCTAAAAAAATAGCCAAACACGTCGTATATATATTTTCAACGAGTCTATTCCTAAATCCTCCGTTTAGGATCGCTTCACTGGCTGGAGACGGAAATCTGAGCCCGGTTTCCAGTCGTACGTGTGTCTCAATCACTCCGACGAGGAAGAGACGCAGAAGAGGGAGACTGGCGCAGACGTTGAATCTACAACGGCCGAGACCGAGGAGGCGGCCGAGGTTCGTTCGAGCGAGGAGGAGCAGCAGAAAGCGGAAACGTTGAATTCGCCACCGGTCGAAGCCAAAGACAACAATAACAGCGAGCAGCACCAGGCCACCGAGGCGCAAACAGTGGAGCAGATTGTCGGTCACATTCTCAAGCAGAACCAAGAGTTTCAGAAGCTGCTGGAGAAGCAGCGAACCAACAGCATCATTAACGTACGGCAGCAACGTTTCAACAAGCGCATCACAGCAGACACGTCGGATGAGAGCGACACTGAAAACTCTAGTTATATCGCCGGCTCGAGCAATCACAACCATAACAATAACCACGACAGCAGCAATAACAACAACACCAATAACCGACTGGGTCGTGCGCGAGCCACGCATCGAGAACAGCGTCTGATCCGGACAAACAACGCGTTGAACTCGTTATCCTCGGCGTCGGCGCGGGAGAATCCGCCGTTGCAGTTGCTCTACGATAACCTGAAGACCAACCAAAAGTCAACCGAATCGTCGATCCTCGCACGTAACGCCAAGACGAATCACGTGCATGAGAAGCGGGCGCTCTTCGAGGCGTTCAAACGGCAGAGCATCGTTACCGATAGCAAGGTGATCAAAACGGCCCTGCGAATCCGCGAGAACTCAACGTCGAGTAGCGGCAACGACGTCGCGGACTCGTCACTGCCCACGGCATATGACTCGAATCACACGTTACGACTAGAACAACGCAAGGAGCTTAATTCCCCGGCGATCACGATGGAACATTGCAACAGCGAGAAAAGCGATGTCAACGACACGCCACGCGACGCAGATTCCAAAGGCTTCGGCAACTACGACAATCTACAGCACGTCTGGGAGGGTCTACAGACGGAGAAGGACGTTGACGGCAACGACAGTCCGACCCAGCCCGCCGTCTGGCTCACTAAACTGTGCGAAGGATTGCCGACTTCGCCACCCAAGTGCGGTTCGTTGCCCCGCAGTTTTCAAATCAGCCCAAACTCGCAACAGCCGAGCGTGACGAAATCGCGCTTTCTGCAACGAGACGGCAAGCCGATGAGCGAGCGGCCGTTCACGATCGCGTCCGACAAGCCGGCCGAGATCAATCTCGAGGATATGGAGAGGTACGCATCCACGTGTCAACCTGAGGGTAGAATTGCCAAGTTTCCGATGCCCGCTTCGACGAGCTCTTCCAGCTCGTCGACCTTCTTCTGCTCGTTTGAGGATGCGACACTGAGCGATGCATATTCGGACGTGCGCGTGTCTGCGAATGGCGCAAGCATCCACCCGGATCACAAGATTTATCGAGCGAACGGCGGCAGCACGATCTTTAAAAGTGTCCTCTCCAAGGCGGGCAGCCGTCTACAGGGTTTGAGGAACACCATGAGTACGGAAACACTCGAGTGCAGCGATGAACTCGATCGTACTCGTTACTTTCCCTCCTTGAGCGGTAAATGCCAGTTGAAAAGACGGAACAAGTCGAAGCATGCTAAGGAATCGTCTTCGGACGTGGAGGAGCTGGTGAGTTGTACGAGCGCCGGTGTCTCGGACCAGCGAGTACCTCTGCTTTACTATAAGCAGGGCAGTTCCAGTCTGGGCGCCAGAATCGCGCAATCCGACTACGCCGACCCGGCGATTCTCTTCGCCGAGAACAAACGCAATCAAGCCTCTTCCGCCGCCGATCAGTTCAAGAAAACCGAATCGGAGGGGGGAGAGCGCGAAGAGGAGGACCCGTGTGACAAGGATACTACGCGCGAGCGTCGCGAGAGCGAGGCTGACAGCTTCTACGAAAGATGCTTCGAGACCATCGAAAACTACGTGGACGCCGATGTGGACGAAGCGTTCAGGGACAGTGCAATTTTTAGCGACGTTGACGAAGTGTTTGTGACGCAGCAGCCGTCACCGACCGCGACGACGATGACTATGACAGCACCATCGTCCATGGCGAAAGCGAAAGTCGCGCCACCGATACCCGCCAAGAAGAAACAAGAGACGTTCTCTTTGTTATCGAGGTACAAGCCGAACGTTGCGCAAAAGCCGGATTACCTGAGAGTGAAGTCAATGTTCGCGAAGGGAAACCCAGTCGGCGACTCGGAGGTCGCCGTCGGCAATATTACCGCGAGATTATCCCCGTCAACCGACTATCAGTCGCTGGATGATGGTCCACGGGGTGCATGCAACCGAGACGCGGCCGAAGCAAACGCGGACGACGTTTCTGCGGGGCAAAGTCAGGCGGGCTGGGTGCGGAAAATAGTAGGTCAATTACAGGGTCATGTAGAGACGTGATGCGTGTTCATAGACACAGGTTGACGAGTTGATCCACGAAACGAGAACTGTGTTCGAAAAAGTCAGATCCGCACGGACAGCGCGAGATAGTCGTGTGAGTAGAAAGCGAAATTAATAATTTTATACTTCGAGGCGGGTATGTATAGCGACGAGGTTTCTTTGAAACTTATTAAAACTTTTCAACTTGATTTTACAACGATACGAACAATGAAGCTTGCTGTAGTTCCAAGGCACTTTGAAAGATCTTGTATGACTCAAGAATACAGAGAATAGAGTCTCTTTAATCGCCAACGAAAATAAAGAGCTCTTCGCTCAGTTTTCTCGCGTTACTCCCATCGACGTGTAGGTTGGAAACGCTCGCTCCATATTGCTGTCAGCCTAATGGCTAACAACAATTATCAGGAAAAGGTCAAAGAACTGACTGAAGTTAGGCGTTTTGAAGTTTTACTACACGTGCCTGGAATATCGTTAACAACACAACGCGATAGCGTTAAGGCTCTTAGTGCCTCGCCGCAGAACTCTTTATTGATGACGTCAGAAACGAAGAAATGTATACCCAAGATTTCTGCGAAGTACGTCGAAATGAACAGTTGTATCCAATAAGTGACATTTGTAATCTATTAAACTTGTTCGGAACACTTTGGAAATGTGTTTAATCAATTGCAAAAATATCACTTATTCGATATATCTTTTTATTCCGACGTACTTTGCAAAAATTTTAGACATGCTTCTCCTCGTTTCTGACGTCATAAATGTTGTAAACGTGTACATCCACGTGTTTTATCTCATAGAAATGTAAGAAATGACACGCCGAGTTCTCATACTTAATACTTATTGCCTATAGACTGTTGATGTATATTAAGTATTGTTTGATATTACTTATGTTATATACATAGAAAATATACGAGGAGAAAATTTTAATTATACAGGAGCATTTACGAAGCCATTTAGCGTTTGATTGAACGGGGTAGTTTAAATGCACGTGGACAATACGAGCCTGCAAGTTCGGTATTGTTTGGGCAAACGTCACTCTTAATCAATTTTTTCACTCTGTTGGTTTTTTTTTTCCAGACAACTGTGACTCTTCTCACATCGTCGTAATTATAATAATTAAAATATTGGTTGAGTAAAACGTTACCTCACACAAACGTACGGACGTCGATACAAAACGGTGTTCCGCATATTGATCGATTGAACGAATACAAAACGGTATTCCGCATATTAATCGATCGATCAAAGCGAGACGAATACGCTGAGAAGATAAAAAATTTTATATTAATCTTAATTTTATTTACTTAATTTTCTATTTAATTATTTAATTGATATCGATAGGGACTGTGTGCTCAATAGAATATGCGGAATATCGTATTTATATAATGATCTCCGCAAATTTGCAAACCTGATGCTCTGTCGATAATTTCAGGGAAAATTTCAAACTGCAACACGTAAAGCATTAAGGATTTTTTGCGGAAGATACCGCGTTGCGACAACTGTATCTCACCGTTTCACAGTCACAGCATATGCCATTTGTAAGGAGCTGTTTTGCGAACAAAGAGAATAATCGTTATATATATATATATGTATTGTGCTATTAGTGTACAAAGTAATATAAAATTTTATAAAATCTGCCGTAATTTTGAATTCTCCGTCTCGTCTTGACAGAAGGTGGCATTTGAAATATAATGACAATGTTCTGTTTTAGGTAAGTACCTGAAAAATATACAATGACAGGACATTCGAAATGAGACCGCAACGCCGAATATCTTTAACCATATTTCCTCTTTTTCTAGCTTTTATTACGAGAAAATCTATTTACAGAAGTTTGGCTAATTGCTTCCTTTTTATAGATACAGATAAATCAAAGATACGTTCATAATTATAAATTATCTTGACAATACTGTATTTATATATAAAAATGACTAAAACAAAAAGGTTCGGCGAACGCAAATGTAACATATGTATATATATATATATATATATATAATACGTTATACACATATATACAACTCTCGTGTAATTACAGACTTAGTCGCTCTCTATTATATATTTATCCCAATTAATATTTATAAGAGAAAACCCTCTATACGCCTCTTCCGTTATTAATACGTAGCCCGCGACTATAAAGAATAAATTAACGTCCACTTCTCTTCCGTAACGAGTCTCATAGACGTACATCTATACAAGAATCATTTCTTTTTTCCATTGTTCAACTTCGATTTATCTCAGTAAATTTCAAGAAAAGCGCTACGTAGTACTCTTGAAAATAAATAATTATGTAATCGTTAATGACATAACAGAGTAACACTTAGTGAGAATTTTTATACAGCAGAAACTCCTTATTTCTAGAATCTCTGTACGATGTAATATATTATATCTCTTGTTCTGTTTCTTTCTCCTTCTCGCGTCCTTAATTTCTCAAGTTGTAAGAATAATTTTATCCGTTCACACTGTTATCTATCTGTCGCTACGGCTTTGGTTAATAACTACTGATATATCGGCAATTCATATCTTCAACACCATCACGGCTAATTAACAAAATTATCGGAATTCATTCGATTAGATTAATTGAATATTTCTTCAAATTTACAATACGTCAAGAAATTTTATTAAATATATTGGTTTACGTTTATGTATATATATATATATATATATGTATGTGTGTATATATATATATATATATATACATATTTCTCTTTTTTATCTTACGTAATTTACGAATTTGCCTCTCACAAAATATTTATATTTCTTTGCTGTGTCGTCGCATGCAAAACTTAACGCACGTGACTTATTTTTAACTACCATTGAACTTTCTTTCCCTTCCTTTATCGAAAACAATGATAAGCTATATATGTATGTGCTTAATCTTCTTCTATCCCTTGGATCAAGTGACATTCATCTTTAACACAGAACGTTTCTTATTGAAACACGCTGTTATTAAGAGTGTCAGTTATATTCAATCACTACTGATCCCTTTGTGCCGCAAAAAGCTAACACTGTTTTCGCAAAAGAATCTCTCTTCGATAACTAAGTTTTCTGAGAGTCAAATAGAAATTTGTTAGACATATTGAGAGAAAGACAGCTTCACGTACGGAAGTTATAACTTCATGTAATCTGATTTAATCGACATAGATCCGAGGGACGGCCGAAGGCTAAAGAATAAATATCTGTTACTGTCCTACACGTTCGCTATTAAATGTTGATTTTGAGGTTTCGTGGAAATACGTATGGATCAAAATCTGGAACTTAAGCATCCGTATGTAGAGGCAAACCATCAGTATGGTGGTCGATGTGTACAGGTACATTTTATCGCTGTATTAATTGTCCTAGCGCTATACGTGTACGTGTCTGCACAAAAGGATTCTTCGGAGATCAGCAAGTATGGGTGTACGATATTTCATTATAGCACATAGTAGTTCAACGTATAATAATGGATTAGCAATCACTGATTCACGGAATTCACATATCCTGCACAAATAAGATAAATCGGTCATTTCAAAAAATTAATGTGTACAAAGACTCGAAGAAGAAATGATTTATTTATGGATATAATAAAGTTTCTCGGTTTTAAATTTTCTGGCGATTTTCGAACTTGTCTGTTATTCTGCTCAGGCGCAAAATTAATTTAGATTCTCTGCACGTCTGAGATCTGTTCGAAATAGTTCGAGAAACTAGGAAGATCGAGAAGAGCGCAAAAATTTACATTATTTATTAAAATAATTAAAAAATAAACCGTAAAAAATTACCGAAAGGAATATCGATGTTTTACACCCATACTTTTTCCTATTTCTGTTTTCTCTGAAAATTGTAGAATAAATTCCATTCTAAGTGGTTACGAGTAGAATTTGGATATGTGAATTATCTACACAAAATCGTGTATGTGTGTTTTGTGTATGTACGTGTCTGTGTTTTTCTTTTTTCTATTCCTCGTGTTTCTCCTAGCACCTTGGTCTGTGTGTCACAGGGGATTAAAACTTTCTCTAATTACATTTTTCATTTTTTTTTCACTTTTTGCTAATTTATCCGTTTTATAGATGCGAAGATTCAATAGTATATATCTTCATGCCGATACACCTATCTTGTTTGTTTCTCTTCGCGATTTACGACGACCCGAATAAAATTATTGTCTTTACAATAATACAAAAATTCACATCAGGTAACACTGCAGTTACTATTTATCGTTATTATTAAAATATCTTGCAGAGATCTATGTCCTCTGCAAGGAGCGGGTATCTTGCGTAAATAATCGCCTATACGCGAACAAAACGATTCTATTTTTATCGATTTGATATTCGTAATGGTATCGAGATAAAAACTTTCTCTAGTAGCGTCAGAACAACCCTCGAGTAACTTATTGATTAAGACTTTGCATAAAATAACTCCCGTTTTCTTTTCTAAAAGTCACAATTTTCTTTCTTTTTTCTCTTTCTTTCTCCCTCTCTCTTTTTCTCTCTCTTTAGAGATAAATACGAGGACGTAGCGAAATTAAAATTACTTATTATGAAAAAAATTTATACTCCATGTATAACTTGTATAAGATAATTCAGCCAAACAGTTTCTCGAATGAGGAAGCAGTCCGCTGGATAATCGGACGTGAAATCACGTGGGTGAATTACAGATATTGCGAAACATGCCTCTGAAAATGTCTGTACTGCGAATATTTAACACGTTTAGCGTATAATATGCTATACTCTGTAAGTATACACGGGGAAGACATTGCACGTGTTCACACTCATCTTCGTTTTCAAGACGGCATCGTGTCAATGCACACACCGGCAATATCATAGTGCATATAAATAATGTGTAGTTAGCGTTGTAGTATTTGATTAAACAATCGACTTGGTGTTTGATTGTAGGAGCAACGATTATAATACATATGCACGGAAAAAAAACCAACTCCGTTGGTGCAACCGAATTTTCTATTACCCGGAGAGACCAGACGAGAAACTCGATTGCAGGAACAGAAAGATTTCTGTAGGAAGTTTCTACCGATTGCTCTCAGTTATTTCGACTAAGTTTTAACGCAGTTTTATGAATATTCAGACGAATGTTTTCGGCCACTGTAACAGAGATATCATTTCTCGTCCGGTTCCTATTTAGTTGCATGAATTGAAATTTTGCTTTCCGTGTGTTACGAGTAGACTTCCGCCTTCAGATCCTCACGTGTACCGTCATTTAGTATTGTTTCGAACAAATCATCAAGTAGATGTGACAAAAACCGCCAGTCAGAATCGAACGTCTGATGAAGCGCACGCTTGAAAGAACTCTCACCGTGAGCTCTCTCGGAGATTTCGGGCTTCGACGCGATTTCTAAATCCTAGAAGCTCGAATCACCGTCGAGAGCTCGACGCAAGTTGTCTGTGCAATACAATATTATATCGGTGTCGTTATACAGCTCTCTCGTTTATATAGTATACGTACAATACAGCAGAAACAATAAGCCACCGATTCTTGCACTTTTTCGGCTATATTAAATTTCTCGCTAATGTAATACTTTCTTCGCGCGAGCAATAACTCTACGTCCACTATATACACACAGCAAAAGTCCATATAAAATATCAAAATAGTTCAACACTCCGCAGATAATTATACGTTTTACTCTGACGACTCCTTACACAATTCAGCTCACGTCTCGCCTCAGCTGGTGCAAACTAAAAGACTTTGGCTCGCAAAATCTCAATACGTCGACGACAGGTGGAAAAGTGCCAGATTACTAACTACGCTCTTACAGCTATCTCTCGTGCTTAGCACGACGCAGACGGGACGTTTGTCCGATGCGAAGAAAACACGCGATTCGCACGAACACACAATCACACGGCCGATTATCGGAAAATTCCAATCTCTTCTTACATTGTAACCAAATACAACGACTCAGAAGCTACGAACTCAACGCGACGAAGTGACGGGATCTTCCGATATAGTCAGTAGAAAAAAAAATAGGAAAACAGTATTAAATTCAAGCGTCGATCTCGCGCGAGAAAGTGCAAAAAGAACACAACGGTGCTAAACGTGACAAAATAATATTTAGAAGATTTTTCACTCGCTAATGATCAAGTTGTGCGTTTAGTAATAGAATAATTCATAACAAGATTGGTCAAACATTTCAGATAAGAGGAATGTTCATTAATGTCATTATTATCAACTGGCCAGCATCAAGAATGATGAATAAATCGATTAGAAACCAGCAAAATAGATATTTAAAAGTATTCTAAAGTTCGCACAAGCGAAAACGATACGACTGACGCGGCTGATGAAGTCGCCAGTCGAGTTCTGTAACGTGCGGGCATAAAACGACCAACAACTCTTTTCTCCTTTTTCCTCACCTACACCCTACGTGGTCCAGCACTCTTCCTCCTCGAGGTATAGTATCAAGAAAGTCTACTGTAAACGAGAAAATGCATTTCTCCCAGTCTTAAGACCGATCACATGAAAGTCACTCCGTTCGCCGTCTCATAGGTAAATGACGATACATTCGTTAGCGATATCATACTGATAAAACACTACTGGATATATGTATAAATAAAATCGCTATGGACGAATATACTCGTGGTGCCCGATGCGGATTACGTGCTATTGAACCGCTTTTATTCCGTTGGAAGTCAAATCATTTTCTACGAAAATATCAGCAATTTAATACGAACAATCGACGACTTTTCAGTGGTTTAATAAATAAAAAATAACAAAAGGAATAAATATAAAACAAAATATCTTCAATTTTGGAAATAGTTTCTCTACGCGAAAAGTGGGAATACTTGCCTCCCTCAATCACGAATATCACAATGGTGCTTTATCAGAGAGAATTACCTCAATAGGAGAAGCATTATGCAGAGAGAGTGTCAGCGTTCGCAGAACGAAGGAACGTAAAACGTCTCGAGCGAACGTTTCTTAATTTTATCATTGCGTGCAGATATCGAGACTGATACAAGCCGTGACAGCGTAGATGCCCTTTCTGTCGGTTTACGTGGGCGCAGCCTATCGAAACGACGCGAACGGGTAAGTATTTGCGAAATAAATAACGCGGCCGCGATCGCTGTCGATGGACGACCGTCGTCGCGCGGCTCGTCCCGTGCTTTACACTCGTCTTCGCAATCGTCCCGAAATTAGAGACACTGATGAACACAATGTCTTAATAAAAATAACACCTCCGTAACAAGAGATCCCATGCCCAACGAAATGAAGCTCGAGTATGCATAATTTCGGTACGTATTCACAACACTGTTCTCGAGGGTACAACATTGGTACAAGCGAATTTTGTACTGTGCATATACACACACATACACACGATATCTCATTACGGCAATATCGTACAGTCCTACGTCCCTACGGGAGATCCTGTTTCTACATGGAATTTCTCTTTCAGAAACGCTATCGAAGGGCACTCTATACATCGACTATTTGCTACTTTCCTTCTAACGTCGTTGTCGTTTCCTCTACAATCTAGATCGTCTTTGGAAGTGGATAAAGCAGGCTGTCGCGCAACTCTACCGGATCAGATTTAAGACAGGTTCGCAGATCAACTCGAAGTCGACTTTTTCTCAACGAATCTGTCGATTGACTGCTAGTTTCTAACTCGTACTACGACGGGAAGCAAAGAATTGTACGCGAATAGAGCGAGAACATTTGCAAAGTCGTGTAAAAAACGAAGCATCCTTAAGATTCGACTCGATAGAAGTGGGACAGCCTGTACGCTGTATCGATGCGATATCGTACGAATCCGACTGATGTTACATGGACTCCGCGAAAATCCCATTACACATAATACGAGCGACGGATGTGCTTATTCCCTTAAAACGCATCCGAACGTTCCATCCGGGTGCAGCGATATATATATATATATATATATATATATATATATATATATATATATATATATATGTGTGTGTGTGTGTATATATATAGCGTTTTAACCTTCGAAAACTATGCGACTTGGTGTAAGAATATAAATATCGTTTTGCCTACTAATCTCGTAATCTCATTAAGGATACAAACACATGAACTCTTACCCTAGCACATAAATGCTATTTACGATTAAACGGTTCTCGAAGGCTAAAAGCTATTACACGATTACGCTCTAACACTAGAAAGAAAGGATAATATTTCCGGAGTTGTATTAAATTTATGCAACATCGCGAAGAGCCTCGTTGCGCACTTACGCACACGGTGCAACGATTCTCTCGTATCAAGGCGGTGCGTCAGTCAATTTAGCTATATATAAAGAATCTGCATTATGTTACTAATCAAATATTTAAAATGAAATCGAGAGACCTCTGAAACTTCCCTTCCCTTCTCCTGCATTTATTCACTACGTATCGTTGTGGAACATGGACAAACTTACTAGAGAAAAAAATACTGTATATTTTTGTATAATCTATATTCTTCGTCACGTCGACGCGACAAGCGATATCCACGATATTCCATACAATTTTTATTAATTCTACAGCTTTTCGAAGAAGATTCTGATTCGATTTCATTCTAAATCTTTTCGTATACTTTTCGTAATTGTATATACGTGTGTGTATGTTGTGTGTATGTATGTATGTATGCGCGCGATTTATAGGAGCATAATTTACACATATATAGTTAAATTGACGAGTAGACCACTTCAATCCAATATTTCTCAAAGCAGTTGCGATTACTATTGGCTTCATTTGATCAGGCATAAGGATAGTTTTACGTATATACTCTCTTTTTCTTTCTTACGTTTTTGTCTCTCTTAATTTCAACCTCTTTCTCCATTATAGTTCTTCGGCTCGCGTCTTTCGAAAGAAATGTCTAGAACATTTCTCGTTTAAAAAAGAAAATAGTTACCGCGAGTAACCAGTCTATGCGATATCGACTACACGGAGAGACAGCAGCAACTAGCGCAGCACTGGAGCTTGCACAACACCAGTATGCTCAAGTAGTTTTGACTACGTATGCGCAGCCGAATCTGATTGTATCGAAGTGCTTTACCTCTGCGACTTTGATCTCACCGCTCCGGTAGTAGTCTCACATTACATGCGGTCTAATCACAAATCGTGCGAAATGATCACACGACGTGTAGTCGTGTGTTACCTACTTAAAATCGATACTTAATAGCTGGCTTCATGTCCAGCAAGAATGTACAAATCCGCCCCTTCCGACTCGGTCAGTGTGCCACTATGAACCAGATGGCTCTCCAACATGACAACCCTGTCGAAAGTAACGGTCAGTTTTACTTTTTCATTTAATTAGGAATAATAGATTTATTAAATTTGAAATAAGTATAGAAAGATCTTTTCAACTATGAAAGGTCTTTTTAATTACGAGCCAGCATATGTTAAATATATACTGAATATCTTGAAACTATTTTGTCTACATATATATCTAATTATCTTGCTTACGTCAGACACATACTTATCTGAGCCAAGCAGCCTGTAAGTCCTGCTCGGATCACTAATCTCTTGCGTGACTTCGCCGTTCTTGAAACTTCTACCTTGCATACCGTGCTTGTGGAATGCCAATACACTATCTGGTAGACAAACTAGAAACAAACGATGAGGCGTTTTACTCGCAAATTCGACACTAATTGCAAACGAGTGAAGTGGTACTTACTAATACTTATTGGTAAGTGATACTTACTGATAGATTCGATTTGAAAATTAAATTGCAGCTCCGACAGTTGCTTCTTGCTGACGCGGGGTTTCCCTTGTAAGGTCACCATTTTCACTACATCTGCAAACATGAATCACTCGTAAGAGTATCGTACATGATAGATTCCTACAAAATCTATTAATAACACTTACTGTCGTAACAAACGAGTATCGCGTCCTTCTCGAATTGCGTAACATTAATGACATTCAAATTCTCTCTTCTCGGTATCACAGTCGCTGAAACAGCATTTTTATCATAAGAAGAATATCTCTGAATTAGAAAAAAGTAACTAGTAATTAGTAAGGAGTGCAATAGAAAATTTTAAGTAGAATTTTATCAGTCAGATAAGTGAATTTTATCAATCACATATAACACAATGATACCTGAACCATCCATGTCTTCCAATTCATCACTATGGAACCAACTTGCTCCTGAATTCATGTTGATTAAATCCAGTTTCAGTTTATTTTGCTGATATGGTTGTTTAACCGACACACACACCATCGGGTACTCCATCTCAGGCGTGATAACCATCTTGAAGACGTTTAGAGGCGACGGTAGAACGCAGTCGAAATGTTTCAGGAGCATAAATTTGTTCAGCGGATCGTACCATTGCATCAGAAATATGCCCGCCGGCATTGCACCGCACAGATACTTGTAACTACGTTGGAAAATACACGCACTTATAAATTCCTAGTTACATTAGCGAAAAAACAAATTGTTCAATGCTCACATGACCCACAGAAAAAAGAGTAATGTGTTTACAGTAAATATGTAGACAATAACACCATTTTTTGTCACTCACCCGTTATACGGATTTCTCCCAACGCAACATTTGGTGCATCCCTTCGTATCCGGCACTTTCGTAGTGAGGGCGAATTTCCTAGGGACTAATCTCTCTGGTATCTTGTTCATGTGCAATGAAAACCTATGGGTCTGTTTACTTAGCATCGCTAGTAAGTCATGCCTGTACAACTGGGGTGTTTTTCCTGCAATTCAACACAAGATTTGTAGATAGATAAAGTATGCACGATTTAATCAACCATGCGGAAAACCGCACAACGATCTGCTTACCAGAAAGAGACATAAGCACATCCTTGATAACGTACATCCAGATAGTACGTCTCGGATATAGCTGGTCTATCGCAGTTTCGTGGAGTTCGTTCAAATTTAGATTGTAAATCCCTTCCTCCGCAGCGATCAACAAATGCTGATCTCTTGTGTCTGGATGAATCCAGCTCGCGGTACAATGTATTCTCAACGGACAGCCATTGAATACCTATTAATAATTGCGACAAAAAAGAGGCACATAAGCCAAACTTATGACATAATAGCAATTAGCTAAAAAAACATAATCGAATTTTTATTCAATGATCACAAAACTAACTTTAGAGAAACACGCTCCCATATGCACTTTTGGCGTAGGCGGCAGACCGTTACTGATTGGTCTTGGTGGCGTATGCCTTTTCCGATCCCTTCTTCTTGGAGGCACAGGCGGTGTGTCCGATAGTAAGTCCGGACTTATAATTTCCCTATCTCGATCCGTTGATATCTCATTGTCGCCTAAAAAATTATAGTAACAGTTATTAAGATAATGAAATATTACACAAAGCATAACGATATTTTAGAAAAACTCGAAAAGTATAAATAATTTTATTATACGTCATATAAATATTTTATATAATTATTCATACACTAAGTGTCTCACTATTCAACTCGTAGTAAGATACTTAAAACTATTTTACACATATTAACATATTTATAATTATATTTAAATTATAATTAATCCTTTTCTTCTCATAATTTTATATGAATGTTTATATCATAAAAATGTTAAAGCACATATGCATGAAGTATATTCTTACCGTTTGACTGCGTGGATTCATCCCTAGGACCGCTGTCTGATAATGATCGTTGACGTTGTCCATTCACAGCTGTTAAGGACTGAGAACTGTTGACAAGACCATATAATTCATCTACGGAGCTGTGTCGCCTGGGACTTGCCTGGGGCCCTGTGCATAAATCTATTGTGTATATCAATGCTTACATACGCGTCGACACAAAGAAGAAAAAATGTTATAAAGATCGTGGATTAGTGATTTAATCTACATACCAGGTACGTTATAGTATGGACAATGCACTTCACAGTCATTTGAAGATTCCCCAAGTGGAAGAGTGGCTCTACAAAAGAAAACATTTAAGTAGACATTAACGCACAATCATTTCCCCGAAACACATGTAATTTAGGAGAACGAAACATGAACGCTGTTAGCAAAAAACAAAACACACGTTGAAGATAAAAGGAAAATATGCATTATTTGCACACGACATTGTAAAATAAATGCTTAGATAGTGTATGCTCGTTGGAATAACTTGTAGATGTCGAGTAAACAGAATTGAATGAAGTATAATGCACAAGAAAAAACACATTAAAATGAGAAAAAAGCTGCATATTTCAAACAAATTTTAGTACTGAAACGTCACAAAGCAATTGCACGTTATCAAGGTGTTAATATGATTCGGTCGTACATATAAGGCTTATTTTGTTATGTAATACATAGTTACATGAATACAGATTTAACGTATATTCTCAGTTAAACAAATGATAGAGATTATATAAATCATATAGGCAGAAACAGATATGTCAACCTTGAAATATTCCCCGTATCAGAGAATTAATGTTTGCTTTCTCTACCTGCACCATTGGTGAAAAAATATTCAAATGGTAAACAAAATAATTACAGATGTATTAACAGAGTATTATCTACGTAATGCAGTGTAATCTGAAATGTGAGTATTGTGTATAACGTTTCTAATGAATAATTATTCGTACAAAAGCGCATGATTATTATTTCCGTGTTAACGTATCAGAAAAATATGTATATCACTGGAAAATAATAATTGTTTACTGTAATTCGTTATCTACTTACTGCAGGGAATATAGCTGGTCGCAATGCACACCAACCATCGACATTGCATTCCCCCTGCACACATGAAACTGTGATCATATACTATAAAATTATGAGCTTATTTTGTTTTTGATACTGCTCTTGATGTACTATGATACGTTTCGGAATTTACAAACAGCTCAATTAATATTGTAATAAGCTGTAAAAACATAAGATACTTGATGAAGCGACTACTGTTTCTGCTTTTTAAATATATCTCACGAAGTATTATATTAAAAAAGTATTGTGTATCAATTTTAAAAGTGCGGTCTCTCTCTCTCTCTCTCTCTCTCTCTCTCTCTCTCTCTCTCTCTCTCTCTC